CTCTCTCTCGGACTCGCCCTAACTGATATATACATACATATATCATCACCCGCGCAGTGCGTCTCTGTGCGATGCAGCGTGCGTCTTCTCGTCTCTCGAACACCACAAAAAACGAAGCGGTTATTCCGTTCTTGAGATAAACGTGGTCGAAAGAAAGAGAAGACGCGGTAGCTATAGAATGAGAGAAAGAGAAAGAGAGAGGAAAGTGGAAGAAAATAGAGGAGCCCGATGGCGCTCACGGTCGTCTTCGTGTGTACTCTCGGAGATCGATACACGGTACACACTCCGGGTGACGTTGTGTGGGTGCAAGAATACATTACACCGAGCTTTCCATATGAAACGCATCGGTGTGTGTGTGTGGGAGGGGGGGGATGAGAGAGAAAAAGAGCGAGCGAGAGAAAAAGCGAGACGCTGTCGGGACGATAGAGTACGTGGAGTTGGATTTCGTCGAGCAGACCTCGGAACGAAAGAAATACCACCAGATGTTGCGTAGCGTGGTCCGAGGTGCTCGTAAAAGCCGGGTGTTCGTAAAGTCACATGCGGACTTCGAAGGTTTAAAAGCGAGAGAGAGAGAGAGAGAGAGAGAGAGAGAGAGAGAGAGACGCAGACAGAGGCGAATACCGAAACCGCCTTTTTCCGCCTCGCGACTCGCGAAAGGAGCTCGATCTCGCGCGCGCGGATATACGGACGCGGATGTATACCGCGCCGCCGAGTTATCGAACGGACCCATTTTCCTCGCGCATGCAACGCAACGCGACGTCTCAAAGGCAGTCGGAGTAAAGTCGAAGGAACGTCGTGCGCCGCGACGACGAGCGTGGAGCGACGATATGATCGAAGGTGAACGAGCGTCAGAGCGGAGCAGTTTACCACCGTTGATTATGATGGGTCGATGACTTTTTAGCGAGCGATAGCGCCGACCTTAGCTTCCTTTTTCCGCGGCTTGAAAATTTTATTTAGGAAGGCTGGGACGTGTTTCGGGAAAAGATTTTGTCCTTCTGGAGGAAGGGACGCTACGAGATTTCGGGGCGAGACTTCGATCGAAACTCTGACTGACTTGAAAGACAATTAGCGACCGATACGTGGGAAGAATGATTAATTTCGTTCAAGTAAAAATTTCTGAAAATGGACGAAACAGAATATTCTGATTGTATCTATATAATTTCAGATTTTGTCTAGATTTTGTCAGAAAATTCTGATTCGTCTACTTTTAATCAGAACTCCAATTAATCGAACCAGATTTTTTCATGAGAAAAATTTCTGATCAAAAATAAATAAACCAGAAGATTCTGACCATATCAGAATTTCGGTTATCTCAACTAGAATTCTTGTAGATTTAAGAAAATTCTGTACGGTTTGTCTATTTTGAATTCCAATCAGATTAATTAATTCAATCAGATTTTTTTGATGAGAAAATTTCTTGTTGAAAATAGATAATATCGATCGATTATATCGATTAGAATTTCAGTTATCGGATATAGAATTCTTGTAGATTTAAGAAAATTCTGATTCGTTCATTTTCAATCAGCTTTCCAACTAATCCAAGATTTTTTTGAAGATTCCAAGACTTTTTTAGTATAGATTTGAAAACAATTTTGTTGGAATAAAAATAATTATGTAGGATACTCAAGTATGATGAGAAATATTTCAAAAGTATTTTGTTATTTTATCAAATTGCTTGAAGCATCCTCATAATTATTATTATAGTCCAACAAATTATTTTCAGATTTATATCTAACTAAACTTTTTAGTTACTTCAGCAAAAACATTCTTTCCGTGCAGAATTGCTTCTAGCAAAATTTCTAGCTATACAATTCGCTCTTAATGTAATTTTTTTTGTCAAACAAAAAGTACATAATTGTATTTCTATTAATCAAAGACTTCAGGTGTAAGTACGAGTAAGTTAATTAGAGTTAATTTAAAAGACTGATCGAAATCTTTAACTCCAATCCGAAACCAAAGAAACCATGCGATGGATTACTCTCTTTCGAAAAACTTTCGATAACTCCAATTCGGAGCGTTCGAAATTAAATCAATGCCAAAATAAATGTTAGATTAGAATTTGCTGAAATCAATTTTTATTATATGAATTAAATTCTAACTTTCATCAAAACTGAATCGAAATGTTCGACTACGTATCAATTTCAATCGAAACCAAAACAAAATTAAAAAATAGGAATCTTATAAAGGCTATATGTATAACATTTATATCATATACTTTTTCTTCATAAATATCATAATTTATTGAAATATATAATAATTAAATTTTGGCCGAAATCAAAAATCGAAATTTCGGTTGTGTGTCAATTTTAGCCAAAGAATATAAGTACTTCTTTTTTATAGATATCATAATTTAATTATTGAAACAATAATTACACATATTAAAATTAATATTTATGAAGAAGAGTTATACGGTTTCAATCGAAAATAACACGTAATGAGTGTTTGTTTTCAATTTCGGTAAAAGTTTCAATCGTGCTCTAATATTAAGTTTGACTGGCTCGATTTAATATAAATCATTTCTTGAATTTTTCAGAAACTTGAGAGACTTATATCTAAAAAAATACAGATAATTAAAGAACTTAAAAACATCTCACGTATAGTATCTCACTTTATCTCACTTTAAGATAAAATTCATGAATATTACATGGAATTGGCGCATGATGACTTACATTGGATCATAAACAAATCAGTTAGTCCACAATTCTGATCGAATCTTCTAATCAAGTCACGTCACTGTGAGAAGAGAGGAATGAGCGAATCATTTTTCATCATCTTTCCTACTCGATTGAAATTTTTCACGGACGTCCACTCGTTTCTTATCGATGTCGATCTACAGAAGCTTTTCGAGGAAAAGGCGTGGAAACACGGTGCATTATGCACGAAGCTTGTAAAGTACAGACGGTCTTAGAAAAATACATGTGCAGAAAGTATTAGAGAGACAATCCCGTAAATATTGTTTCGCATCGCGAAACAAGTGCGCGGCCCAGACATACGGAAGGAAGAAGAATGAGATGGCAGAGGAATGCGGAAAGTATGTGCCGCATGAACATACTTATCATTTATGTTCCTTCCGTTTGTTCTTTCTACGTTTATGGCTCTGTCCATTTTAGTCACGCTTTTGTACACTTTGCCACATTTCGCTGCTATCTATTCTTCTGTAAGGCCTGAAGACACACAGCTTTTTTTCCCTAAATGTACAAAGTGCTGAAAAGTACGATAAGAGAGCGTCGCATATTTCTTTTACTATTTTGCTATCACGTTTTTTTTCTTTCCTTGTAATATTGTTAAAACGCATATTGGAAAAAAAGTCCGATTATATTAATTGGAATTCTGCTTGAAAATGGATAAATCAGATTTTTCTGATTGAATCTTATAATTCCCATTGAGATAATCGTTCTAATATAATCAGAAAATCTTCTGATTCATTTTTTTTAACCAGAAATTTTTCTCAGTGCCTGTTCGTTATATTTATTTCTTGCCAATCTTTCCATCAATCAAGATTAATTTATTAAATTTTAGATTTAAAAAGTATAATTAAGACGGACAGAAATTTTCAACTCTTCATGTTAAATATATTAAATTAATAAGATTTAATTGTATAAAAAGAACAAATCTACTTTTTGCAGCACTGCTTATGCTTGAGATTTTTACATAATTATTTAGACGGTCCAATAAAATTATTTTCAGATTTGTATCCAGCTAAATTTTTAGATATTTCAATTAAATTATTATTCTTTCCTTTCGTTGATTTGACTAATTTGCAATTCAACATTCCGTAATATTAACTTCGCAATATAATCGTTTCAATGTCAAGTATTTCTATTTTATATGCAGAAAGTGTAAAGTATAAAAATTTTTCATTATCACTCGCTCTTATCGTTTGCCTCGTTGTGAATACAAGATTAATTTTGAATCACGCTTCGGCGCGATGTTCGCGATCACGTTTCGATCGCGACGAAAGATGGAATGGATACGTGATTAATTTCATCTCTTCGATCTATCACGACCCTTATACCTGAATATAATCCGTCGTTCATCTTCGATCACCGAAGTCTTTCGCGGGGTCACCGTACGGCCTCATAGACGATGTTATAGTCACGTTATAGTCAATCGATCGTAGCGGTTTGCATGTCGCGATGACCGGTGATCGGTCGATGACTTTTTGCACGCGGTGATGCGCGCAATTCGCGATTTGCTCGAATCGACAGCAGGCGATCCGATTACTGTTTTAATGTCAAAAAAAGATCAATCTGTTGTTCCTCCATTAAGAGCGGAAGATTACGTTGTAGGTACACGAAACGATGAAAATTTTATTCAGGATAAGCCGAGAAACAGGTGCGAGAAAGCTCCGTTTAAAAAACTTGCGTATAAGTGCAGTATGAATTCATAAAATGAATTCGTTAAAAAAATCGTTAAAACGATAAATCGAGGGATAATAAAAGTACTAATAATAAATATCGAGAAATGAGGAAAACTTAATTAGTATTATTATACATTTAAAAGCTTTATAAATTTATTTTCCGGAAGGTTTGTCTCTTGTGATAAAGCACAATTTTTTTCTTCACTCGATATTGTCAGGAGAAACATAAGTTCGCGTTATATGCACGTTTTACTTTGTGTATTTAAAATGAAATAGACGTGCCTGACTCGAACAGGAGGAAAAATAAGCCAAATGAGCGTAGAAAATAAAAAATGTGCAATATAAACGGATTATAATATTTAAGAGAAGATTTAGTTCATTGTTTCACATTCTAAAGTTAATTTTTTAAATCTAAACTTGGAGGATTTTATTATAGGTATATATATTTCCATTGTTTAGACATAGTTTTATTTTATGATTAAAATATCGAAAATATGCATATGAATATTTATGCAATTTTAAATTTACGCGATTTATGTATCTATTGAAATAACATAATTATAGGTTTTTAAATAATAATTTATTTTTTTTTATATTATAATACGAGTAGAGATGATATTTTTAGAAATCTAAGTAATTTTGAAATTTGACATTAGAAAAAATTATTTAGAATTCCAAATTCAGCTTAATAATATTTCTATCAACGAAACTTGACATTTCTGTTTTTAAAGCCTTTTCGTCTTTACCTTGTATCTTTTAACTTTATTCTTTCTTAACTCATTTATGTAACTATCGCGCAGTTTTATGCGAGTGCCAGAGTTGATAACAGCTGATTACAGTTTTTAGTTGAGTTTTCACTTTCGAAACTAGGTATCGACTTCCAGACTATACATCTGTATAAATTCATACGTTGCACGAAGCCGATGGGTTTAATATTAATTTCGAACTGCGTTACTAAGTTAAATAAGTTTAATTCCCCTTTTTATCATGTATCAAGCTGAATCCAAGTAACGCAATATTGTACTCTATTTGGCTTTCTGTTAACATTTTTTTTACACTGAAAAAAATTTCTAGTTGAAAACGGACAAATCAGAATTTTCTGGCTGAATTTATTAGAATAGAGAATTCTAATTGAGATAACCGGAATTCTGGTTGATACAATATTTCTGATAAAATTTACTAGAATTCTTATTTTTACCAGAATAATTATATCAATCAAAATTCTAGTTACCTCAATTAGAATTTTAATACAAATAAGATTTAACCAGAAAATTCTGATTTATCCATTTTCCACCAGAATTACTATTTAATCCAACCAGACCATTTTTCTCTATGATTAAAACGAAATCAGTGCACTCTGTGCATCTAAAATGAAGGGGAACAATGTACTGTGTTGCACACCGTTGAAAAGGAAAGACAGGCCTAGGAGAATGAGAGTATACGAGGCAGGATGACAGCATAAGTGGACGATGGTAATATAAGCAGCCTTCATTTAAAATCATGATATGATTGGTGATGACTTTATTTATCACTCATACAATAACGCACGGTGAGTCAATATGAATACGCGTGATACTCAAGCCGCAGGTTTCTTCCGGCATGGCGATACAACTGTCGATTTTACACCAGACGAAAACGAATATACATATAACTGTTCGTGTGAGTGCAAAATAAAGAATTTTGAATATTTCTATCATCGAATATTTCGTACAGTGAGCACTCGACCTTTGTTACACTCGATAAAATTAACAGCGCGTACAGCGAGAGAAAATTTAAATAATAACAGCTCTCACTTGCAATGGATTGATTATCCGCATCGCCTCGAGTATATTTAAGATTTTTAAATTGCATAATGTAGAGCGTAAAGTTTATCATATTTCGATATTGTTTTTATATTTTAATCCGAGAGCAGTCTAATTTTTTTTATGTAAACGATCATCTGGAGTATTTTTATACTTCAATTAAATGATTGTTATTAAAATGTTATTAAGATGCATATTATTGATACTTTTCTTTAATATTTGAGAGCATCACTGATATGGATTTAATCACAATTTTCTAAAACAAATAAATATTAAACGGAATAAACACGTTAAGTAGCTTATTACGACAGCATTTCACAAAATAAAGATTTTGATATAAAGCTTTTTTATTATGAATTTTTACATGTTTATTGCATGTTTAGAGGCTTGTAAAGAATAGTTATTAAACAAGAAAAACAAGAAATAATTGTTAAATAATATTAATTATTAAATAATATAAAGCAATGTTTTTATATATATATATATATGTTTTATAATATATATATAATAATTACATTTACATTTTTTACAGCTGAGATATCTCAGGTGGCTATTCCCAGATTTAAAAAATATATATATATGGATTTAACATCATGCGGTATTTATGCAATTCTCGTGTTGATGTTGCTATAAATACCGCCGACATGAGGTGGATTTAACACCGTTCTTTTAAACCTGTAGTTTTAAAATCCACATTCATATTTTTTAGGACATACATTCATTTAATTTAAATTATTCCAATTTAAATTATTCCATTCGCCGTACTTAGGAAAAATTTTGTGTGTTTGAGAAATGATTATTTAGTCTTCATTTCGAAATATCAAACTGTGATATATCATGCAATAAGGAAGTGTTTATTGTGTTACAAGGCTATTGTTGAGATCGAATATTACGCATCGTCGTGAATTTTCTGGCTTTGAATATACGAGCATATATTGGAAGCACCACACTCGGTGCTACACCGAGTTGTTGGCGATGTTGACGCTTCAAGGATAGAATGGAATCGGGAAAGTGGGTTAATAAACCGTACGTGTACGTTGCACTTTATCGATCCGCGATATATTTATTACAAAGATAGGTATTTGTTGCTCGCGGTGGTGTCTGCTAGAGCTTAATATAGAGCGTGATGCATATAAAACGCATTGCTAATCGAGCTGAGACCGTTATATCATGTTATATCATGTTTGATACTGTACATGCAAATACATTTGCATATGGCGAATTAATTTTCATTAATATCATTACAGAAATCCGATTGAGACACACGGACGTGAGTGTTTTATTTATTAGGTCAGCAAGAACGCACGCGGTATTAATTGCGGCGTTAATTTATCAATGTGCTTTTAGTAATACAAGATAAATGAAGCATGCTTTTGTTATTTTTCTTTTCTAAATTTAACATTAATGTGTCTGTCTTATGAGATCGATAATAATCTCTAGATTCTTCTTTATTATTAAAATTGTAATAAACGATGGTTTTTTGCTTGTACATATAATATTCTTAAAGTTTTCAAAATTAGTACAAATCATATTTAAATATAAATATTTTCTGGTTTATTCTTATTACTATTAATATTATTATTATCATTATATAATTACCAATTAATCACCAATTACATATATTATTATTATCATATAATAGATTATTAATTTAAAAAATAATCATGTTTATTGTTGCGATTTTAAATAGTCCGTTTTTTTACTTCAATGTTAATATATAAAAAAGAAAATGCATTTAAAGAGGATGCAAACTAAATAAACATTGGAAGTTTTTCAAAAGATTTAACGATAATGCCGGTGTTGGAGTTTATTAACTTATTTCAATCGATTTGATGGCTAAAAAACACCTCGGGAATCCTTTTGGTGCGCTTTAGTGATGTCAATGAGGCGAGAGAGATGGAGAGCTGGCTGGCACAGACTTCATTAATTAAGCGCGCGTTGATTCCACTACGGAAGAGTTGAATCACTACGGTAAAACGTTTTGCGACACTGAGTGACGTCGGCGTATTTAGCCAAGATTGAATCGTGACTCGCAACGAAAGAGCGCAATATAGAAGCTAGCGCAATATGCTAATGAAATGATAATCGAATTAAAACTCTCGATGAGCCTTTTTAGAAAATTTGATTTAATTGCGAGTAATTCTCTTCCCTGAATCATTGGAATATCTTGTGACATGGCTTGTGAACGAAATTAAACTACGATTTTATTTATATTATATTTCAATTTGATTTTTTAATTGATTTGTAGAAATGTCGATGATCTTCGAAGAATTAATATTCTCATTGCTTAACACGATTTTGATCCAAACGCAATTTAACGAATGTCGTAGAATAATCGAAATATATACATGCAATGGATGAAAATGAATATTCAGTGAAACACGAAACTTATTTCATTTAGTTGGAATCAGAGAATTGTTAAATGACATTTGTTAAATGATGATATGACAGAAAAATTGTTGCTCATTTTCAAAAAAAAGTTTACATTTACATTTATTATATTAAATCTAGTATTCTGTTCCTCCATATTGGAAAGAGCACGCAAAATAATTCGGATCGTTAAAACCTAAAACCTGCATTCAATTATAGAGGACAATTAAAACTTGATGTAATTGAATAACAGTAGAAGAAAGTTTTAATAGCTCACGTTCTAGATCGAGCTTTCAAATATATTTATATAAAAGATATAAAACAGGTGGATGATACCGACATTGTGTAGAAATTATTATTCGATTATGCAAATACGGAAGTTGGAAATATCGCGCTGATGCAGATGCTCCTTCAATTAGGCATCGCAAAAACTTCGGGCCCTACTTTTGTAACGTTCGATGACGCAATGTCGAGTACGCATCAGTACCGTTGTTCTCACGTCTCTGACAAATTCTCAAAAGTCTCATCCAATTAATTTATTATTTTCTGATTACAGCGCTCGCGCGTAGCATGTCTTGACGAGTAGGACAGGCGCTTCGACTGGGTTCTCGTAGATAAGGGTTCTCCATAATGGCGGGCGGTCAACAGCTTCCGGAGCAGTACATGGTACCACAATACGCGAGGATCTTCCACAGTCTGCCGCATCTGAACGTCTCTTTACATTCAGTCAATAATACGTTCAATCCCCACTCCGAGATCTATTTGGAGGTAGGTTCGCTCGGCATGAATCCGTCAATTCTGACTTCCTTGGCCTCGATTGTCATCCTCGATTGCTTGCACTCCTTTCGCCTGCAGCCACTATGATATGTGCAAAATCGATCTCATGGACTTAAACAAAGTGCGTCCTATTAATCGGCCGCGCGCGATCAGAGCCTTTAAACTTTGCGCGGATCGATAAGCGAATTGTACGAAAAATCTAGATTTTATACGGCCCTTGGTGGCAATTTCAAGATAAATATTGTATTCATATCTGGCGACGTGTGTATTGATATATGTGTCGGAACATCTTCAGGAGAATATCAGCACGCTCGACTTATTTCCAATCTGGATGTATTTCTGAAGTAAATGTATGCAACTCATACAAACATTCGATATACAAAATTTCTCTTTGTGCAAGATACCGCGAATTTTCCTTTTTGAATCCCAATGATCTCTGATTTTTTTAATCGCTTTGCGATCTACTTTCGATCGGCTTAAAGATATTTTCCAGCAAGAGATACAAATAATACAATGTAATATAGTGATAAATTTTTACAAAATGTTAACAATTTCAGACAATTTATAGAATTAAATGAGTAATTATACGAACACACTTTTTAAATAATATGAATAAGTAGGTAAAAACAAATACAGGTTGATATATATTTATTCGTTTGTATTTTGACTTAGTTTCATGTAAAAATTTGTATTGTAACTAAAGCTGACCTAATTAAGATCAAAACATTTATATGATCATTATATATATATATATATACAAGGTGACTCACAACTACCGCATTTTCTCTTAAGAACATGTTCTTGAAGTAATTTTGAGACGAAAATTCTAATACGAAAGTGTCGAGACTACAAAAATTTTTTTAATTATAAAGTAATTTTAAATGCTTATAAGTCAAAAACCATTTTACTTTCATATTATTATTTCTGGATTCTTTTGAACATTCTAGGATAAAAATCCTAATACGAAAATATCGCTATAATTTTCACACTATCTTTTAAACAATTATAATTCAAAAACTATTATATCCTCCAATTATAATCAAAAACTATTATATCCTCAACATTTTTTTATTAGAGGAAGAATTTTCGTCTCAAAATTACCTCAAGAATACATTCTTAAGAGGAAATATGATAGATGTGAGACACTCTATATATAGGATTATAATTTTGTGTGTGTGCGCGCGCACGCGCGCGCGCGCGTGTGTGTGTGTGTGTGTGAAAAGAGAAAATTTAATATAATTACTCCCAAAAAAAGATCTTGCATTAGCTTTGAGGCTCTTTTCTATTAATTTTTGTAACTTAGTGAATTATTACATCCTTATTGTTTACTAAATAAAAATAAAATATAATAATAATTACTGTACTATGTCTCTTGTTGGAAAACATCATATATATTGCGCAACATTAGTTGCGGATATTAATATGTTAATCAAGTCTATCCATTCGAATAGTATCTGTTAAGTCCTGTTAGTATTTCGACATCTTAGGACATCAAAATTCCGGCAGTTATTTTGCGGGATATCCTCTTAACAACTACAAACGCCAATGATACTTTGGATTATCGCCTTTGATCGACTGTAGATTTGCATTATCGAGCCATAAGTGGAGATCTCGCATCGTCAAACGGATAAGAATCCAAAAAGCGAGCATCTGGCAACATAACGATTAGAAAAGGTCGTATGCTCATACAGAGTGCAAAATCAAAAGGGAAGAAAAAAAAAAGAAACGATTCACACGTCTGTGGAAGGTAGCGGGATATGGCGAGGACATGGGAAAAAGAAGAGAAGAAAGAGAACAAAAAGAAAGAGAAGAAAGGAGGATGAGAGGTTTGTGAAGAAAAAAAAGAAGGCCAGAAGAGGGCAGATGGATACCACGAACGCGCAAGAATCCAGGTCCCATAAGTGTAACTGGAAAGCACAATGCCTGGGAAAGCTCAAACAATGCACAAAGGCTTTCGCATAATATGCCTGAGGCAACTCACGGCAGCAGGCTTCAACATCTTCGGGAACGTCGGACCACGTCGGGCACATCCTGCTCTCCCTCCATCGTGTTCTCCGTGTATTCCTCATACTTTCGTTCCCTCTTCTTTCTTTTTCGTTCATCTTCCTCAGCCATCGAAGTCGGGCGGACTTAGGGTGAGATATAACCACTAACGGAGGAGGGCCCGAAACTTTGTCTCGCTAGTATTCGCTTTCGTCATGCATGCGGCTCGACGGGGTGGATTGGCGAAGCTAAGACCGCCGAGAAATGAGATAAAAGCCTCGAGAGAGGTAGGAAGAGAGCGAGGTAGAAGTTATGAGACGGTCGTAAGTGCGGCTCGTACGAAGTAAATACGTAAATGCGCCTGAAATAGCGTTGCAATGTGGTTCTTGACGATGCACGACGATGCTGATAATATTGCCGTTTTAGAGTAGGAAGTGAAGGCGAGAAAATTTTTGGCGCGATACCAATTTTTCGACATTATTTGTTTGGCTGATCTATTCTTCGAATCTCAACTCTTCAAGTTAAGAAGACACAAGAAAGCTTTTTCTTTAATTAAATTTCAAGATATTTACTTTCAAAAAACTTTTTAGATAAAGAACAGGCAATTGTTAATTCTATGAAATTTGATGGATAAAATCTAACACTCGAAATTTCTTGTAATAAAATCTCATTCCAAGAAAGTGAAAGTATAATTATTCTTTTTGCTTCTTGAAAAAGAGTGACAATTTTCACTTTATTTTAGAGTGAATTTTTACTTCGAAGGAATGAAATTTCACGCCAAAAAAGTGGTTGCATTTTCACCCTCTTGGAATAAGATTTTACTGCAAGAAATTTAGAATGAATAAATGGATTTTATATTTGGATGTCTTTAGATTTCTTTAGTAATTTAATTTCTTTTATAAGAGTATAAGTAAAGTTTACGTAAAGTTATAAAGCAGGAAGAAAATCCATGATCGGATGTAATGTTTACAGAGCCTCGGGATACTGGGAAGTATTCCGGCAGCCTGGTTGATCTTAACTTTACTGGTATTGCTGGTTTATTTGGTAACAAGATGCTGCGACCGGAGGCCGCGCCCCAAGAAGTCGATAACCGCGTTGAAGTGTTCGCTGGCCATCCTAGCATTACTCTGTAGTGGAGCAGTGGCTGTTGGTCTTTATGGCAACGACGACGTACACAACGGCTTGGTACAACTCATAGCAGCTGCGAAAAACGTCGATGGGATCCTTATGGGCGTCAGAAATCAGGTATTTCCTATTTATTTTTCGCAGTGTCTTCATATTGTTTATCATAATATATGTAATAAAAATGTTTTTTATTACATAGCAGTAATAAAAAATTTCAGTAAACATGCACTTGGTTTTTAAAAGTAAAGATCGCAAAAAAGAGAAAAATTATCCTTCATTTAAAAAAAAAATTTTTTTAGTGTTTATTAGAATTTTTTTAAGTGTATGCGTATAGATAGACACTGATCTGATTTAGATAATTTAAAATAATTTAAACAGTTAAGTACACAATTAACAACAATTAAAAATAATTGTTATATTTATTTAAGTATCAACATTATATTATACAACATTATATTTCTTACAGACTGACACTATAGAAGCGACTCTGAAGAAAAAAGTGCAGACGCAATTGACTGCTCTCGGAGATGAATTCGATGCTCCGGTCAGTAATAAAACTATGCTAAGTTGGCTTCTAGCGGCACTTAATGGCATGAAACAAAATACGAGCATCGCTGTAAATCGAAGTTTTGAGATACGAAAGCCTTTGAGCGGTATTAGTCTTGCCGGCGCCATTGGGATGGGTGAAAAGATTGAGCAATTGCGATGGCCTATCACTATGGCGGTCTTGAGCGCTCTACTTGTCCTCTGCGTGGTTCTGGTGGTCGGTGTTGCACGGCACTCTAGATGTGTTCTCATAACGTATGTTCTTTTGATCGAAATAAGAATAGAAATCTTTCGGCGATATTCCTCATATAGTATTTTATATCTTTGTTTGCATTTTTATTTTACACGTTGAATAAAACCATTTAAAATCGTAACAAAATTTGAGCAGAGGAATAGATCGTCTTTTATATATTTATAAATTATTCTGTAAACACATATATATAGTCACAAAATCATAAAGTAATTCTAATAGATTATCTTTTCAGATTTTCCGTATTCGGCTTGTTTGCGGTTATCGTCTCTTGGCTCATGGCATCCTTATACTTGGCAACTTCTGTAGCTCTAGGTGATCTTTGCGTCTCACCCGATGGTTACTTGAGCAGAGCCGTACCATCTACTTTAGCCTCCGAGGTACTCTCATACTACACGCATTGCGAGAACACGCGCAGCAATCCGTTCACGCTAAGATTGCGAGACACGCAACGTGCGATGAATAACATGAGGCATAATTTGAACACGGTGACTAAATTAGCTCTAGAACTGTTCAAAGACCAGCAGCTCCAGCCAAGACTCAGCAGTTTAGCTACAGACGTTAATACCATAGACAGACTCATATCAGGTTTATCCACGTTACTCGACTGTAAACCTCTGCACAAGCAATACGTTCATGCCGCCAAGAGTTTGTGTCATTTGGGATTGTAAGTCGATATCCTCTTATATTTTAATTATAATTCGGAAAAATTAAATAATTGTTTGATTAAATAATTATTTTAATTAAAATGATTTTACACAGAAATATAAACTTATAATGCTTCTCTATAATGTGTTCTAGGTATGGATTGAGTTTCATGCTAATAGCCAGTTTAGCTGCAGGTCTCTTATTCACCGTATTGGTTTGGGTGGATTCTCATACGTGGATATACATACGAAAACGGTAAATACACTAGCAGGAATCATTTAGAGAGAGGAAGGAAAAAATAATTTTTAAATATAATTTTATTTTTATATTTTGCTATTAATTTTACAATGCTAAAGCGGGTACCATAGAATCATTGCGTTCCTTTCTAAATTTTATGATATTTGCTGAAAATTAAATAACCAATGCATTTGTTTCAGAAGGGATTATCATCAAGTTGACGAGCAAGATCCTTACTTACCACCATCGGCGGCGTCACAGGCGATAGCAGCAAGGACCCTTCGAGGCCAAGGGTCGTACCCGCCTACAGCCCCTACGCTTAATTCGAATGCTCTTGGCACTCATAACACGATTAAGCAGCCTCTCTTGCTAACGCCGCCCCCACCGTCCTACGCTACTGCGACTGCTCGAGCACGTCAACTGCACGAGAGCATGTTAAAGTTTGTGCATGAGATTTTCAGTTTCTTTTTTAATTTGTTTAGCTTAAGGAATATCAATTAATATCGCGCTAAACATATTAGATTCAATGCGTCTCCTTTGAATGTTGCTTTATCATACATAGTTCCATCATTATTAAGAATACAATTTTTTATCGATATTTATATATTAGTATATGCTTTTTGACGAAATATACGTGATGAAATGTATTGCATCATATAAATAACTGTGCCATTCTTAATTTTATATTTGATGTGTTTAATTATATATTTTAAATATCTGTTTTTGGAACATTAAGCATTTCGAAATAGAATATTATTCTTAGCAAATAACAGTTTTGATTGCTTTATACAATATTGTTACAAGAAATAGTATAGCGCGCTTTTTTATAATCCTATTTAACATAAATATAATATATAGACAGTTTTGCAGGCGTGATTGAATTTGGATTTATGTTTAGATAAGCTATAAAACGATGTCGGTCATTATGTAAAACAAAGATAATGCTGCAACTTTGTTTGTTCTTCCTCGCCATTTACAGAGGTGGGGGTGTTAACGGGAGTGGAGGGGGCGGGGATCACAAATCGTCTCAGCATAATCAGCAATCAACGGGTGGACGAACTGAACACCGATCTGGACTCGGAGATCAACCTGGCCAGTACGCGACTCTGAGCAAACAGTGCAAGACGCTAGAATCTAGTGACTTCTACTGAGGGCACGCCCCCGCAGGGCCCGGTAAATGCAAAAATTAATACTCTTACGCGTATATAACATTCTTTACATCTGTATTATTATATTTCATGTTACAGGTAGAGAACCACCTTGGACGCCTAGCGTGGCTTCCTTCACCGGTACCCTGTCTCATAATTCGCACGGGCCCGCGCATCTTGCCACTTTTCAGGACTCGCGAAAGACACAAACGCTGGATCCGAAGAATCTGGCCAATCTAAAGAGGGGTCCGACTCAGGCCTGGAATCAAAATCGACCGCTTCCACCGAATCCCGCGAGTCAGCAACCTACGTGGGAGTTCGAGTCGCGCTCGCAGACTAATATGAATCAGTTTCGATCGTTGGTGCGGAACAAAGCGCCTAATATTCGCATTCAAGATCAAATGCAAGATCAGGTCAGAACTTTGGATAGAAATTTTTCGCGTAGCCAGTTCAACGGTACCACACCGCAGAACAACACGGTGCCGAATATGTACGGTACATATAATCGAGCGCAGGGAAGGCAGGAGAAGCCGACGGTGGCTACGCTGAGTCAAGTACAGGGTAGTGATCCTAATCTATATGCTGTAACGGAACTCTAATCGTCGAAAAAGAAGAGAAGATGCGAAATCAGTATGAGTATTTGCAGAATAGAAGCATCGTTGACAAAGAGAGTTTTGTCTTTTAACAAAATTCAGAACATGCGATTTGGAGTTCCTATAAAATAACAAAGAAAAAGAAAACAGTAAATTGATTTCAGAGACCTGCGATAAAAGTGAGAGAAATCATGGGGGGGAAGGGATGAAAAAAAATTTTTAGAGAACTTAGGAACTTGTGTGAGACATACTTTATATCCGAGATTTTGTATTTGTATATCATGTACAGTGATTGTGGTACGTCCTTCTATGTTATTCTCCCTCTTTGTTATCGCGTTCTTTGATTAGACCGCGCGCGAAGTATCCAAGGACAGGCTGGAATGCATACTTAAACGTATGCAATTATATTGCTTGTTGGCCGACTGGAAAACTGCATGAACGAACATGCACGAAAGAAATCTTCACGAAGTTTTACACTGATATCGTTTCAGAGATACTGCTCGCTTGTTCATTCTAAATTAGCCGTTAATTTCGCGTGTGATATTTAACCGAGGAGTTAGATATCGCGACTTAAAGGAGACACCAAAAGACGATGAAGGAACTATTGAAATATACGATTTTTATATACTTTTTACATTTTAACCGAACGAATCTATGTTGAATTTTCCGTGAGAGATATTTAATATACTTTATATGTGTGTGAAAACGTATACATATACATCTAGTTACCGCACGAATGTCTGGTAATTTTTACTCTGGCAGAATTCGATTGATCATAGGTCACGCTCGATACTGCCAATGCTCAGGCGAATATACTTTTTAAGTACAAAGACAGTGGTAGCACAGGCGTTATGGATTTTCAATTTTTATGTGCAAACGAAAAAGAGTTAAAAAGGAAAGGAAAGGATGTCCAACGTATCGATAAAAGGATATTTAGAAACATACTTCTACAGGCGGTATTAGTTAAAAATACTCTTTTTAAAGACAGTAAGGAAAAATTAATCTGTCTCAAAAAACTAAATCTTATTATACTTTGTAAGAGTCGAGAATGAATTTTCTGCGGAGCGCAGTCTTCCTGAGATCTTCTAACATCAGAGATATACCGAGTATATTAGACAAAGAGAATATATCTGGCGATTATTCGGTACTCGTTGAATCAAATCCAAGTATCGGAGAAGTAAATGTTGTGCCTGAATAATAGCCAATTGGTCAAGTGTTGTTTACTATTACAAGTATCAACGAGTGTCCGGTTGGATATTGACAATTCTTTTTCAATTATCACGGATGTCTATCTCCGATAATATTCGGTACATCTCTCTTTCTCTTTATAATTGATTACTAAAAGTTGTAAGAATTGATAGAGATTTTCAACAATCGCAAATGATTTTGTACTGGCATCCGCATATAATTCAGTAAGTTTGTATATAAAACAATAACACTTAAGATTATTGAGTAAACGTGAAAAGTGTGATAAAACCGAATCTAGATGTTATTACGGATTTTACGTGGAAGCATTTTGCCATTTTTTTTTTATTGACAATTTAACCACGACTTTCGATTGCGGAAAGGGAAATCGTGCCATTCCAGGAATATATGCATTTAACGCAAACTACTTTCCAGGATTTTCTTAGGGCTTGTGTTTAGTCGAGTAAAAATCAATTATATAATCGCAATACCAAGCATTTTAAGAGCGTGAATAGCAAAAAGAACTTAATCCAATGTAAATAATTGTAATATTTATTACAGAGCGATAGCTCGTAGACTAGTAGCATATAGTTTAGTTAAATGCTAATTTAAGTTTCGACGATAAATATATAAATGTGCGAACGCGGCCACGTGCGCGTAATAGCAAATGAACGAATATCATTTTGTTCATTTTGGAGATGAAGAAGTATCCTAGTCAGTATATAAAGTTGTGTACATTCATTAATAAGATCTCTTGCCAAATTTTTAACCTGGCTCAATTTGAAGAAAACGAAAAAAAAAAAGATAAGACACATAAAAAGGAATCTTTTTTCTCAAAGAATATTTGTATCGTCACTATTAATACGTACGAAAGCTATATTAGTGCGTCGTTGCTCCTCGATACATGTTCTAGATTTTAAGAGAAAAATTGCTTATTGAGAAAGTTTACAAATATAATCCAACTTCAGTGTTTTAGCACAGATATGCGCTGTATCCGTAATATGTATTTGTTGTGCATCTCGATTATTTTTCTTATTTGGTAAGTATTTTTACTTTTCATTTTTTGAAATCCGCCACAGTATTGATTTACAATAGAAAAATGAAAATTTTTTTATTTTTATTTATTTAATACAATTTATTTTTTTTTACTTTTATTGTTTTTCTTTTCTTTTTTTTTTTTTTTAATAACTCATAAAACACTGGAGATGGACGTCTTCAGATACTATATAATCTTGGTTACTCGAAATTTTACAGTAAAGCGCGCAAAAACGGGATCAACATAGTATTGTTCAGAAAAATCTGCAAGTAAACACGTCGTTTGTTAGTTGATGAGAAAATTGTGCTAAAATATTTCTCTGCTAGAAGACATTTGACCCGTGCTCAATGATTCGGGCAAAATTGACGAGACTTATCGGCGATCGAGGAACCCATTTAACACGTATTTTAAAATAATCTAGAACACAGAAAACATTGTTAAACTCTTAATATGAGAATTTGTAATTTAGATGATTGTTAACAGAACCTTTATTGTAATCGTTTGTCAATTTTTATAGTAGAACCGAGAGTCTGAGGCACATTGCACACCAGTTTTTCTAACGAATAAAGCAGCATTTAAGTTATTCATCATTTTTATACGGTAAATGTAATGTGGTATAAAAGAAGGCGAGAGCATCTGCGCAACAAATACGAACAAAAGAGGAAAGGAGATCAGGATGATTGAGAGAAAAAGAGAATATGTGAGCGAGTGTATACGTCTATTATATACATATATGGTGCGTGAGAGAGGAAGAGAGCGAAAGAACGGAAACTCATTATTTTCAGAGATAATGGGAGTAATGTAATGATATATGACAATGAGGAATTCATTCGAATCGGAGCATTTTCTTGGCCTACGGCAATTTTTCATCGCAGAAAAAAAAAGGATGATATAATTAATAAACGAAAAATCAAAAAAAAATTTCGCAGAATTCGATTAAATATTATACGCACATCGACAGATATGGATGAAAGAAAAAGGAAAGGAACACGGGAGACCTAAGCTTTTGTGCACCCTTTAAGACTGATACTGGATACGTCGAAGAATCCAGGGCTCTAATATTTTTTCCGTATATTTGTATATTGCATAAGTATATAATATTTTACACGTGTTCGGCATAGGATGTGATGGAATGTTCATTTCTGTCATAGGTTTGTGTGTGTTTATCTTTTGTTCGATATTTTCTTAATTTAATTCCTGACGTATCTCTCGCTACATCTATTAGTGAAAGTATACAGATAGTACGTAAATACTATCTTCTCTTTTTTGCGTATTTCTCTCTCACTGCGCGAAAGAGATTTATTTACAAAGTATATGTAGAGGCTACTCGACTATACTCCAGAGAACTTACATAAGTTATAACGTTCTATTGCGTCTTTCTTTATATGTGCGGTTATGCGAATTTTGATGTAATATAAAGAGACTTATCTCGGAGATGTGTAGGAGATGAACGAAGCTCGTTAATCGATACCACTTTTTGTATATTACGATTGTGTCTAATTGCCATATTCTGAATTTAATTCCTCCTATTGTAATGGAACATGAATATTATAAAAAGAGAAATAAAAACATAAGATCCATAATTATTGCATTAGTATCATATCGCCGTATCTATTACATAATATGTGAGAAGATTTCGATTCACATTTTATTTAATTCACATTTTATATTATTTATTCATTAGTAATACTTTATTACAAGTTTGGTACATAAATATACATACGGCTTGATTTGCATCTTCGATATTTTTTAACAATTTATGAATAATCTCCTAATGCAGTATAATTTATTTATTGATCTTAATCATTGAAATATTTCCCTGGTGTTATCATCAATTACATAATACAAGAGCAACAATACGGACTTTTTTTCGATGGGTGAATATATATAAATTTCTTTGGCAAGTTGTTACTTCTTTCAGAACGTTTTTTTCTATTATATATTTTCATTCAAATATTTTCAAAATCTCCTTCATAAAAGGTAAAATGTACATATAGCTTATTTTTAATGGATAAAGTAAACGTATTATATAGGTTCTTATTATTTTACTTGCAATATTGTGCTTAATAAGACATAAAACTTAACAAATATGAACTATCAATTTGAAAATTAGCGAGCAATTTAAAAGAAACAAAAATTCGCGAATAAAGAATAATTTCTTTTAATGACGAAAAAATTGAATATACATCTTAATTACTAGCTAGTGAGCTAGTAATTAAAATGTGTAATATTATACAAAGAAAAACTAATAACAATAAATAATTTTCTTGCAATATATTCTTCTATAGATTAGCTATCGAATTGGTATTAATAAAGTATGAGAAGAAGAGATAATCAATTAGAAGAGAAAATTATTTTATTTTGGCTATTGTGCCCGCAAGAGGTACTTCAGTAACTTATGAATTTAATTATAAGAGCGAGGCTGCTATGTAGAATCAATCTAGTAAGTACACGGATCACTCCATGATTAAATCATGCTCGTTTAATAGCACAAATAATAAAAAAAGTCAACGAAATTTGAGGAAAATGCAAAGGCATTATTTATATATTTAAAAGCAAGAAATATTTTCGGCGAGAAACAGCCAGTTAAAAGTATCAGCAGCAAGATAAAATTAAACCGTCACACGTATCTCGTTCTATTTAACCCAATCGATAAGTTATACAAGTTACAGTCTAATATTTTGATAATAAAGACTGTACCTCCTAGAGGAAACGTTTTAGCGTTTCAGAAAAAGCATTTTTATTCCAAGTTTAACAACTTGAAACCATGTGTCATTGATTCATCGAAAGTAGTACAATGTTTACTACGACTTTGTTTGCGTGGATTCTTCCTTTACTTGAAGCTGAGAATTGACATTGCTTATTAAAGGTATATTCTTACCACTTTGCAGGCTAGAATGACTTGACGATCGACTGTGACTTTGACTGTTAGCACCAACTGGCGTTTGCACTAAAGGCTGAGGCGGAGTTCTGGCGCCAGAACCATTACTATTTGTGAAATTAGGTTGCAGCTGCATGTGATACTTGTAGATATTTTCCGTACTTTCCACGACACCTATTTTAATAAATATTGTCTAAAATAATCTTCATCACGATTATCCTAAATATTTCTATTCTTCAGGAAAATATGATGATACGATAAATAAATGTTTGTTATATCAAAACTATAATTACCAGCTTGCAAGTTTAGACTACGGCCGCGGACACCCGTTTCCTTCGAAATAGGACTCCACCAATTGACGAAAGTTCCTACTACGGGGACATGCCTGAGAATACCCTCCTGCCACAGTTTCTCTGCGTTTTCTCTTTCTAAATCTGTTTGCGCCGTCTCGATACCTCTCTTAACTACTTCGGAGATAGTATCCATCATTTTAGAACTAGCTTCCACTTCCTGGCCAACTTGTAAGACTAAAGACAATAATTCAGCCACATCTGGAAATAATATCATTCGATGAAAGAGAAGGTATAAAT